TATCTATATCTCTATATCTCTACAATTATAAGTGTATATATATATATATAGAGAGAGAGAGAGAGCGAGACAGAGAGAGAGAGAGAGCGAGAGAGAGAGAGAGAGACAGAGAGAGCGAGCGAAAGAGAGAGAGAGAGAGAGACAGAGAGGGAGAGAGAAAGAGAGAAAGAGAGAGAGAGGGAGAGAGAGAGGGAGAGAGAAAGAGAGAAAAAGCGAGCGAAAGAGAGAGAGAGAGAGGGAGAGAGAAAGAGAGACAGAGAGAGCGAGGAAGAGAGAGAGGGAGAGAGAAAGAGAGAAAGAGCGAGAGAAAGAGGGAGAGAGAGAGAGAGGGAGAGAAAGACAGACAGAGAGAGAGAGGAAGAGAGAGAGGGAGAGACAGAAGGAGAGAGAAAGAGAGAAAGAGCGAGAGACAGAAACAGAGAGAGAGAGAGAGCGAGAGAAAGAGAGAGAGAGAGAGAGAAAGACAGAGAGAGAGAGCGAGAGAGAGCGAGAGGAAGAGAGAGAGGGAGAGAGAGGGAGAGAGAAAGAGAGAGAAAGAGAGAGAGAGAGAGAGAGAGAAAGGCAGAGAGAGAGGGAGAGAGCGGAAGAGAGAGGAAGAGAGCGGAAGAGAGAGGGGGACAGAGAGAAAGAGAGAAAGAGCGAGAGAAAGAGAGAGGGAGCGAGAGGGAGCATGCTGTCTGGGAAGTTGAAGGATTTGGAGCTCCTATGGCTGTGGGTCCTGGGGCCCTAAAGCTCGGCTTCGGCTCAGCAAAGCCCGCCACTCCCACTGCTTATAAACCCTAAACCACGGACACGATTTGGGGTGTTTGGGGGTTTAGGACAACCTAAACCCTAAACTTAAATGCCCTCTCTGATCCCTAAACCCGAAACCCTGATGTGCAAAAACCTGAGCCGCGGACAGGGTGGATCTGCCAGCTTCTTGGTTCACAATGGCCTCAGGCAAATCGCAGATGCGCGCTCGGACGAAGCTTTCATTCATGCCAGCACACCTCCACAGTAGCCCTGGGCCCTACACCAAAAAAAAAAACGAAATCCAGACTCTACGGCCTGAACCGTACGGACATCAGCACTGCTCCATGATGAAAAACTGAGGCCGCAAGCATCGAAGTAGTGGCGCCGGCGCACTTCGATGACTCCTTCAGAAGATGCGTCTCTCAGAGAGTTTAAGCTCGGACAATCGACGTTTGAGTCTTCGGAAGTTAGGCATGGAGCGGATCTCGGATTCGGGAGAGTTTGCTTTAGCTCTGCTTGGATAGATCAACCAAGGCCATGTCACAGCCGAATACGGAAGTCGAGCATGCTCCAGGGCTTTCTACATGAAAGCCTGGCTGGTATTTACTCACTCCTACTTGTCTCAGGAATCTCCTCAGCAATTCTGTCGTGTTCTTCAACAAGACTGTACCCATAGCAGTACAGACCTGTATCGCACCCGCACCCTAAGCTCACAACCGAATACCCAAAACCCAGACTTGTAGCTTGAACCCCCTAGGCTTTAAACCCTGTATGCTTGAACCCTGAGCCCTCAGCCCCAGATGCCGAACGCCGAACGTGAAACCCAAAGCCAAACCTCAATCCTTCACCCCGAGCCCTTAGCCAATTCAGAACAACACCTAGACACTTGCGAAACCCCTAGCAAAACCCTACAGAGAGCTCAAACATGCACCCAGGAGCCTTATGCCCACAGTAAGTAAACCTTGCAAAACCCTTTGGATGCCGCCCTCCAGCAGATCTGCCAAGGTCCTGGGAAGTCCTCCGACTCAAACTTCTCTGTTGTGACCTGCCGTGGAGCTTACGCAGAGGACCTCTACGCTTCAGCATCTTGCCCTAAGGGTGCAAGATATTCAAAATTAGTAATTGCGTAGGGTCTAGGATGGTAGTTACTGTAGCTTACCATCTGGGCAGAAATAACCAATAGTATTGGGCTTACAGTAAATCTCCCAATCTAATCAAGTACACTCTACTACTACTGCTGCTGCTGCTACTACTACTTCTTCTACTACTACAACTACAACTACAACTACAACAACAACAACAACAACAACAACAACTACTACTACTACTACTACTACTACTACTACTACTACTACTACTACTAGTACCACTACTGCTAGTGCTGCTACTGCTGCTACTGCTATCCTACTACTACTACTACTACTACTACTACTACTACCACCACCACTGCGACGCCTACTACTGCTAGTGGCAGGGCCACCACGACT